TAACTCGCTAATTATACTACATAATTCGCCCAAAATCAATAGGCTTCTGGTCCGAGATATGATAAATGCTAGGGCTGTCCAAGCGAACCAAATATTCGAAATCGAATCGAATCGCAAATTATTCGAATCGTTTTTCGGCTCATTTTCGAATCGCTAAAATTAGGTATCGGTACATAAAGCGGAAATATTTTTACGGGATGTTTTTCACCGGGCAAGCGGCGGCGCTCCGAGCTCAGACCACTCTCGCTCCCGGCTTGCTTAATTGGTTTCCCGATATTTCTCTCGCCTTCATTTTGTGATAAACAAAATGTCATTACTAATGCCCGCCCGGTGGCACGTGATTAGCCATTTCATGCATGGTCGTCATAACAAGGTATAATCGATCGTGACGTTTTTGAGAGAGAACAAGGAGAAAAAGGAGAGAATTTAGAAAACGATAGTTCTATAAATAGAATCGATTTGAAGCTGTTGAGTTAGTTATCATAGGAACATGGTACAGGCAACTCAAAGCTGAAACAGATTTTGGGATCCTTATGATGGCAATACCTTCTTTAAATTGGAATTTGTAATTTCTTATGATGGCATTACTGTATTATCCATCTATATACCAAGACAAATAATTGCACTCTTGCATTTTGATGGCTGTTGTACACTAACAATATTATAGTCATCAAATAATATTGTCATCAAACTAGCTTGGAATTTTTAAATGCAATTTTGAACTTGAGCAACAGTTTTATCTATATTGATGGATGTTATTATTTTGCTGAAATTTACACAAAAAAACATAAAGACTAGTGAATAGGATTAAAATAGCATCTACAGGCTTTACATGTCTTATTAAAACTGAATCCATCAAAATTGAGATTGCAATTTTTGAATAGTGCAATTTTTACTCTTAACACTCAACAGTTTTCGAGACCCAAATTTTGGAGTTCTCCAATTTTTTTGACCAGGTCATACAAGCGTGTGATCTCCTTTGATTTAACTGGAAATACATACATTACCACAACATCGAAGGGCAGGCGTTTATTGTATAATAGAGACAGATTTACTATTGCGCAATAATATTCGATTATTCGGTTCGATTCGGAGAAAATATTCGATTCGATTCGAATCATAAAATTATTCGATTTTGGACAGCCCTAATAAATGCACATGCAAAATCTGGAGCAGATTCAATCGCGCTTTCGTGAGATAACGTGTGCATCTAACAGACAGACATGCAGACAAATATTTATCAACATACTTACCGATTAAAAATGATAAGTAATAAGGACACATGTCAAAATAAGGATGTTTCTTAGAAATAAGGACAAATCTTAGAAACGAGAATATCGAACAGAGACCGAAGACTTATCGATCAAAAGTTAAGGGATCCCCAAAAACAGCGCTCTCACTCCATAGTGACACCTTGTATCCCATCACTAATTAATTAATAACTCGCTAATTATACTACATAATTCGCCCAAAATCAATAGGCTTCTGGTCCTAGATATGAATGCACATGCAAAATCTGGAGCAGATTCAATCGCCTTTCGTGAGATATCGTGTGCATCTAACAGACAGACAGACAGACATACAGACAAATATTTATCAACATACTTACCGATTAAAAACGATAAGTAATAAGGACACATGTCAAAATAAGGACGTTTCTTAGAAAAAAGAAAAAAAAATATTTTCTAAGACAAAGACTTTCAAAATAAGGACAAATCTTAGAAACGAGAATATCGAACAGAGACCGAAGACTTATCGATCAAAAGTTAGGGGATCCCCCAAAACAGCACTCTTACTCCATAATGACACCTTGTGTCCCATCACTAATTAATTAATAACTCGCTAATTGAACGACATAATTTGCCCAAAATCAATAAGCTTCTGGTCCGAGATATGATGAATGCACATGCAAAATCTGGAGCAGATTCAATCTCGCTTTCGTGAGATATCGCGTGCATCTAACAGACATACACACAGACAGACAAATACCTATCAACAGACTTACCAATTAAAATCGATAAGCAATAAGGCATTGTGGCAGCCCTGCCTATAACCAATCTGACCTGATAGCTGGAAGAGATAGTTCAAAAGTTCACCATTTTATCTACAATGAAAAACGCTTGATAATGATCTGTGACTTGAAGTTTCCAGAAATAATGTCCCTAACACAAGAGGAGCTAGAGGACTACAAAGATACTAAAATAATTTCGATTTCTTTACCTGGGCTTCTCAAAAAAATGAAACCTAATATGAAGCGTAAATAAAATCCCACGGCAAGTTAGCATTTAAGCTTGGCCGAACATAAAAAGTTGATAATATTGAATCAAATTATCAATGGGCCATGCTTGTTCTATATTTAATTTGAAAATGATTCCCAATTATTGACTCATAAGGTGTATTATTACTAAAAGCATATCAGATTATTATCACATAATAGTTGAACAATAGACACTCTTGTAACCAGTGTTTGATAACAATGCTAAAATAAATAAAAATAGTTAGTTATAATTTTAGGATAGAAAGTGAAATTTAATAACTCTTTGTAAAAAATGTTTATGTCAAAATAAAGAAGATTTAAATCTCATTGTTTTGCAATATTACTCATAATGGTTATTATGTGATAATAATGATAAGACAGTTTCAATGAGTTGACAAGAAAATAGCTCTAATATCTCAGATAAAATCACATATAAAACCACATGGACATGATTTCATATTAGTCTTACCAGAGATGGATGAAGCATTAATGATTTGAACCAAACTTTAGGACAATGGTTCTCAAACTCTTTAAGCCGCCTTTTTTCAGAATTTGTCAAGCTTCGCGCTCCATCTCAAAAATAACTAGCTAACAACTAGGGCTGAGAATGGTTAACCGGTTAACCGATTTCAAATAGTTAACGGTTACATTTATTTTAACCGTTAACTGACATCTCAGGTACAAATCATCTTCATACCGTACAATTTCTTCAAATATGATTACGTCATCGCAGATTCATCTCTTGTGGCATTTAATTCAAAAGAATATTACTAACTGTGTGGGTAAGGACTCAATAAATGTGAAAAATAATGGAAGTACCAAGATTGCTGATTATGGAAATTTGACAATGATGAATTCAGAATCAGTTTTCGGTCGATTTCGAAATATATTGTTCACGATTTCATTGCAAAATCGGATATTCAATGTCATACAACAAGTGCGCAGTTGATGCCGTTTTTCTTTATGATATATACCTCGAAGTAAAATTTGCACATCGAACACTGATAATTTGTCACATAAATGATGTTTAACAACGGAATCAGGTTTTCTAAAATACTTCAACACGTCCGAACCACGCTGCCTATCTCTTGAAGCAGAGCAATCATGAAACTATCTCGATTCGAGAATAATTTTAATAAGCGATATCGGGATAAGAACACGCTAAATCGCTTTATAAGCATTGTGACGTAACAAGCTGATATTATAAATTATTACGTCAAACGTCATGCGGCGTTAACCGGTTAATTTTACCCGGTTAACGGTCAAAGTGTTTTCCCTGAAATTCCCAGCCCTACTAACAACAGATAGTGAGGATAAAGTATGTTTTATTCAAATAACACATTGAAAAATTGTGGATAACCAAGCTAGGATCTAACAAATATTTTTACTTTTAATCAGATTCACGCTTCCTCAAAAACTTGTCTACACCCCCTTATGGGGCCCGCCCACAGTTTGGGAACCCCTGTTCTAGAAATGAATCACCCAAAAATGTCACCAGCAAACAAAAAAAAGTACAGAGATTTTAATTTAGTAAATTGAACCTAAATTAAATTTAATGCTATTTAGAAAGTATCTCTATCATGGGCTAATATAACCAAACATTTGTTGTTTTCTGGTATATCTTAAAGATTTGCAGTGAAATTATGCTGCCGAGTCCCAGTGGAATGTATTGTGTGTGTACTCTGGGGCACACCTAATATAGAGCACCCTTATAAAATGTAAAAAAAAATTTTTTTCTGTATCTGTATTTTCCTGTTCTGTACATAGGAATTTTTCATTGCTTGAAATGCTTTTTAGACCCCCGAGACCAGGGTGGTCCAAACCCAGGCCCGCGGGCCACATGTGGCCCACTACTCCATTATCTGTGGCCAACGTTGCATTCGGAGAGGAATCAAAAAATCGCATTTTGTGTTGTTTCCTCATAAAATTAACCAAAAAATATTTTGACATATTGTTGCATCACTAATGTCACTGAATTGACTAGTGCTATGGCTTGCTGAGGCAACTAGCGAAGTTAAACGAGCCAAGTTCTTGGCACTATTGTGGCCCGCGAACAATGCAAAAGTAATTTTCTGGCCCGCGGAGCTGCCAATCTTGGACCACCCTGCTCGAGACTATCAAAAACCCCTCTGGCCTCTGACCTCTGGCAGAGCCTGCTAGCTTAAATTACGGTCTCACTTGAAAATTAGAAATTTCACAATACCCCCGTTGAACTACCTGGCTACATGTATACTCATTACATTTCAAATCAAATAAAAGTGCACACATGTGCATACAGGCTAATCTGACCCTTATTTGAACTTTCATTGGTTTTTTAACACAAACCGTCCCATTGATCGCAATGCAAGCATAAACGCTTTGCAGTAGATTAAACATTAACTATACAATGACTATGCATTTGGATTATTGCTAGGGGTGAATTTATCAGATGATTTTAATCTTGTTGAAATATAACAAATATAATGCTAGTCGCCAGCAGCTGCGGACATCACCCGTTGATACGGTCCATAAAATCTAATTTTTTTTAAATCGCAAAGGGAATTTATCGATATCATATATTGTTTTGGCTCTCACAGTGGTATTAAATGAATTGAGAATACTTAATAAACAGTTACTGATTAAAAAACAACAAACCTGGTTAAGATATATTGAGAATTAATTTCACAACAAAATTTAAGAGAGACTTTATGGACACCCTGTATATTGTATATATATATGATTCAAACTAATAAATAGATCTCACCTGTCTACTGCAATATCCCTTCATCTTGCCGTAATCACCCAATCCAATTTTCTCTGGATCAATTGAATGAAGCTTGGCAATGGTTTCCACTGCAGACAAAACTGATTCTTTTATGTCTTTTGCAGTCCCAACAGCACTTTCCCGTGAATGCACTCTACCCTGTCAAGAAAAATTGAGCATGATCATTTCGACGTGCATGATAATATCCAAATTCTGCGCTTTTCACGAGATGTTTCTCAATATGTTACAACTTGGGAATGATCATTTCAACGTGCATGATAATATCCAAATTCTGCCGAGATGGGAGCCGAGAGACAAGATGCAAAGCAAAGTCCATATTTGTGTGACGTTGATATTCGTCTCAGAGCAGTTAATTGCCAATCAAAAGCAATATGTTATTCCCATATAACAGGGCGGGCCTTTCGGAAAAATATTTAATAAAAAGCTTTTTACCTCCATAAACTCCATGATGAAGAATTCCGTCCCAATAACATCAGTATCTGTGCAGTGTACAATAACTCTTGGTACTGGGTATCCCACCGAGTGCAAAGCCTTCATTACTCTGTACTCTCTGCCAACCTGGCAAAGAAAACTCGAATTAGATTTTTTTCGTATTCATCCTGGATGAGAGGAAAGCTGATAAGACTCCTTAATCTTATACAGGAGAGAAACAAGTTAAGAAAACTGTGCTCTTGTAGTATGTGTACCAAGATGGCGCACAACCTGAACATAGTATGTGTACCAGGTTATGGTTATCTGGTTGTGTGCCAACTTGGTACACATAGGCTACTACGAAAGCGACGATAACACATTAAGAGAAGATTTTGTTTGGGTAAAATTTTGTAAGTCAGGTATAGTGAACCGCCAGGCTATATGGCAAGGAAAAATTATGAAAAGGGTTTAAGTACTCCCGAAGTATGTGAACCAAGATGGCGCACATCGGAACTTAGTATTAGTACTGGGTTGGGGTTAGGACATAATTTTAATCAAATTTTCCTTATCTTAGTTCTATTACGAGTTAGTGAGACTAGCCAAGTGACTTCCGTAGTATTTGTACCTGAAATTATCGCCTAACCCTAACCTGGTACACATACTACGTTCCGGTGTCTGGCATCTTGGTTCGCATACTTCGGGAGTACACAATAGGGTGCTGAAAACTTTTCGTTGTCTCGTGGGAAAGATTACACAATGAAGTATTATTTATTAATGAATTCCTACCTGGTGGGCTCCAGGCAGCAGTTTTCCACCGGGCTTTTTCCTCAGTACAAGCTCTTTTGCCCCTATTTTTAGGTAATACGTTGGATTAGATTGGCCGCTCCTGAAGTAATAAAAAGATTGGTAAAGGATAGAGATGTGATGTGAAAACTCCAATTAGAAGCAGTGGTGGATTACAGGTTTCTTCATTTCATTTTTTTGAATTTCATTTTCCTAAACTGCATACAACTTACTATATTTATTCACAATATTCAATAACTTGTCAATTCAATAATAATAACAATACAAATTTGCCCGTTTTCGGTGAAATTTCCCACAATTATAATGACAGCACTAAATTAATCATGAATTAATTCCAGTGACAAACTGGTCCAACAGGAAGCTGTGGTTAATATGTATTAAAAGGAATCTAATAAACCTAGCATCGCAGACAAATTTTAAATAAGGGCCTTTTGGGCCATAATGTGAGACTCGTGAGTGCTGCAGAAGAGCCTTGCTCAGAGCAAAAAAAGCAGAAAAAACTTTAATGAGTTCATCATACTCACGGAAATTTCTTTACTTGTAAATCCCCATCAAATCCACAATGATTTTTCAAAAAAACTTTTAAATTCACTTCATTTAATTTATGAGACATATTGGAATATTTCAAATTTCATTTAATAACTAATGAGAAAAAATGATAAAGAAGATTGGTCGGCTTATACGAGCATAACTCTGATTGCACTAATACTCTTCTGTAACCATTCGATCTGATAGGTGCGTATGGTGTTTTAGGGTCAGCTTAAATGCGAATTTTTATAAAGTTAGGACCGTTTAGGGAATATGCAAGAATAACATTTTTGTTATTCTAAACAAGGTCCAATCAATCAATTAATCTTTAATTTGTCATCACAAAAAACAAGCATACAGAAAACTGTTACAAAAAATAAAATATACTGATCGTGTTAATTGTGTGACTGGAGTTGCAAGGGCCAAAAGAGGTCGTCAAGTAGCGACACCTAGCTGATGCAGATTAGTATAAAAAAGTAACTAAATGAGGCACAACTACTGAATACCAGTAGTGGCGACAGTATACATCAGGAGTCGGCAAACTGCAACCCGTGAGATAATTTGTTGCGGCCCTCTAACGATCCGACATTTACCGTAGTACATAAAATAAAAATCGATCCTAAATTTATTATTGTCTCGACACGGATGTACCACATGGCACAGATGGCCCGCATGTACATAAAGTTTGCCGACCACTGTTATACATAATTGAGGCTACTGTGCAGATTATCTAAAAAAATAAACATACAACTATCACGAGAGAATGCACTGAAGAAAGAATACAAGAAAAAATAAAGAAAAACTTAAAGAGAATGCAAATTTGGTAAAACTATAGACAAGTATACAAGCCTACTAACCATTTGATATTATAACTGAATATTGAGGGGCCAGGAAATCAATAGTAAATCAAATATTCAGACACTTCTAAAAACAGAACTTTAAAACATATTTTGCACAAAAAATTGTCTCTTTGCAAACAGGATGGATCAAATAATATCAGGAAATAAATTGGAAGAATAAATGAATAGTTGAATAAAAAAATAATAAGCGCAATAAAGTTGTAAAAAGCTGGCTAGAACACTGAGATTTGAGCAGATCAGAAGTGAGGGAATAAATTCCCCCCCCCCCTTCAGAAACAAGGAAATTTAACTTTTGTATTTGTGTGTATGTAGTATCACTAAATGCAGTACTAGGGTCCTGACTAGGGCTGGGCATTTCGAATCGAATAGTAAATTATTCGAATCGGTTCAGAGCTAAATTTCAAATTGCCGCCATCTTGTTTTTATCTTTCCGCTAATGGTCGAGTTGAATTCCCCAATTTTTTTCTCATTGGAGTCATATTTTTTCAACGAAATTCTAACATATGACTATTTGGTGCTCCCGAAGTATGCGAACCAAGATGGCGGACATCGGAACGTAACATGGGTAACAGGTTAGGGTTAGGCGATAATTTTTTTCCAATTTTCCCTATTTTAGTCCTATTATCAGTTCGAAGATTAGCCAAGAGCCTCCCGTAGTATTTATACCTGAAATTATGGCCTAACCCTAACCTAGTACACATATTACATTCCGATGTCCGCCATCTTGGTTCGCATACTTCGGGAGCCCCGACTATTTTCTGTAGTGAGTTATTGATAAAACGTGTTTGTTATTCTGTGTGAACGCTCAGTAATCTATCTGGGTGATTTATTCTATGTCTTCAGTAATTCATTTGTTGAGAGGACCAATTACTATAAAAAAGTTGCTTACAATTATGTATTTTCAAGTATTCGAGATTCGATTAGAAAAAAATTATTCGATTCGATTCTGAAATCACAAGGTATTCGAAAATGCCCAACCCTAGTCCTGACCCCCATGGGTCCCAAAAGGGCTCAATCGGAGTTACTGAAATTTCATCACTAACGCTTGTTAAAACAAAATATTGATTCAATTTGGAACAAGTACTGAGACCCACCATCATAGAATAGAGCCAATATTCAAAGTGCAAGCACATCGAATCATTTTTTCCAGTCATTATTACTTATCAATCTTAAGATCGGTAAAGTAAGACGGCCAAGATGAGTTTTCACGAGTTTGCACTGCTTAAAATTTAACTTCTGATCTGTGTGAAGAAATGTGATTCATCGCCCATCTGTTCGGTTTTTAACTTTATAAAAATATGCTCAACCCACCAATGACTCGCCACCTCTAATTTAGGCCCGCGAGCGACCACTGATATAAGCCATATAAGGTTGAGAACCACTGGCCTACAGTTTAACAGAAACAGTTTGTATCGCCCAGATATCCTTATGTTTCATTTTTTCCATCAATTTACATTTTCCCTCTTCAATATCAAGAGAATAGACTGCATAGCAGTTTTCAAGCTTCCCTATACAAACTATACTCCCTTCATATGGCAGTAACCTATTAAACCAATCTGACACAAAAGGCCATCTTTTTTCAAATTGAATAATTGTCCATGAGTTTGTAGTAATATTATAGTCCATGACACCAGCGTCATCAACAACATAGATACTTTTCCCTTTCTCTATAGCCGATGTGAAATTAGTAACTCGGGGAGTCGGAGCCACTTCTTCCCAACGATCAGTTCGCAAATCGTAACGCTCCACTGATTTCATTTTTCCGAAATTATAGTCCCACCCCCCTATCAAGTAGACATATCCCGCGGCCCCTATTATACCAGGATGGTTCCGAGCCTTTTTTGTGTTCCGTATTCTCACCCATTTGTCCAGGTGCACAATGTATCTCTCTGCAGAATTGAACATTTCATTTGAAGACGTGGTACCAGCCACAAAAATGGATCCGTTCCACGTCGTGCAAGGTGTATACCATCCATGATTATCGAGAAGATCGCTCAATTGTGTCCAGCCAGAATCCGGATCACTATATTTGATTCGATAAAATCCGAGCGGATGAAAAAACACATACAAAAATTCGTTCAAAACAAGCGTTGTAAAATCAGGTGCCCAGTTAGAACGATGGTGTATCTTTGACGTTTTCCATTTCCGTTTTTTTGGATTCAGGTTATGCCATTCTGATTTGTCTCTATTGGATGTGATAATCGTATTCTCCTCCCTCGAGGAAGCCATCGTTGTTGAAAATACGTGGATGAAACGTAAATATCCAAAATAAGACGGACAAGATCAAATACTTTTATTTTTAATTAGCTCCACGTCCCCTCGAAAAATTGTGGGGCGCGCCTCACTGTTTCAGATCCACTGATCCAAATAGAGTGACTTTAAATTCCGTCAGTCAGTTTTAACACGATGTATCTTTTTTTTCGTAGAAAATTCGCTCAAAAGAAGATCACTCACACTCACTCAGAGATATAGGAGATTGATATCTGAGCGAATTTACGGGCAACCACTAGAAACAATAAATCCTAATAATGTATAATTATTTCATAGAAGAACTCCATTCAAAAATTCACTATGAACAATTTTTAAACTACTTTCTAAAATTCTGATAAAAAAAACATTTCATTATACGTTGCAAAAGTGTAAGCAAATTCTCAACACAATTTCGGAGAAATATAAATGAGAAAACATAAAATTCTTGTCCACTTTAGTACTTTTCAGACTCACCTATATAATCAATGAAACGTGGTCTGCCAGAATAATCTTATACCCATAAATAGGGTTCCAATGCCGCTTCTTGGTTTTCTGGATTAATTAAGGTAGAGTCAAATTGTGCTGAAGCGGACAAGATTTTAAACAGTCAAGACCAAAATACAAATCAAATATCGCATCAGGGTGTCCAACAAATTTCGCCCGATTTTATGATGAGAGCACTTATTGGTCGATTTTATAGTAATAACAAATGGTAAGTTTAAAAAAATTTTATTGTATGATAAATGTGTGATAAAAGGACAATAGGAAATTTTAATGAACAAAGAAATTCTTAATTGCTATTAATATAAATCAGGCATTTTTTGGACACCCTGTATATTGATCTCCATTATGAAAGAAAAAGCATTTTTATTGGTTCATATCTATAGTCACCATAAATGGTAGCATATGCCATATAGATCTATATTACAAAGATTGGCAGCTAAATGTGAAGGCTGCTCTTGGAGCATTAGCCTTGGTCAACCAATTATGCTATGATCACAACCCCCTGACATACGTATGACTGCAGCATATGCAGCGATATGTTTAGGAAGCGTATTACCGTTACAACTCGGACATGACGTATTGATATAATACCGATCCGATTTCGCATCTGTACTCTTGATCCGATAGAAAAGAGAGAAAAAAAAAAAACTTGGTCAATCAGATCATCGCCACAAAATTATTCCTATTCTATTAAAATATTAACCACTAAATCAAGTAGGATATACAAAGTAAAATGGTTGATCCAAGTGACGACGAAGCTATTCGAGAAACAATGCTAAAATGGCTAGCATTTATTGGACCAAAAGCTCCCTTACACCTACACAACAGACATGGATCCAAACTGGAAAGAGATACTCGCAGGTTACGAACTCTAAAAAAAACATAACCAAAACAAATGCAACCAAAGCTTTTTATTCTGCTCACCATAAAAGGTAGCATTCTTTTGATAAAGACTATCGAGCGATTTCACAGAAATGACAATCGGAAGCCCTACGGTGGATGTCGTGCTGGGTGCGTGTTGTATGTTTTCACACAGTATGTGAAAAAGCCTGGGGTGGCGTGAGTTGAGTTGTGCTATAAGTGGGCATTGATGGAAGCCTGGGCGGACGTCATGCTATTTGGCACATAGCATGTACAGAAGCCCAGGGTCAGAATCTTTGCCTTAAAATGCATTGCGGATATGGAAGGCTCCCCAATTAAGTGTATGACTGCTGCTACTATATGACTCGGACGTGACGTGTCTTCAAGGCACTGATCAGAGACTGGGAAAACTCTGATCCGTAAAAAAAAGCCTTTTAGTGAAGAGTTTTGTAAATCTGCCTTGTTAGCGTTTTGAAATTAGGTCCATGTGCTATGTTCGTAGGTGCTTCTCTATATTCCTGGTTATTTATGAGCATTAATTCAGTTCAGTATAACATGTTTTCAGAATGTGTTTGAGGGAATCGTTCCGGCTTTAACCACCCCTACATGGAACAGAAACAAACAAACAAACACGGGATGCCAGCTTTTTATGAGATGATTTCACATATTTACCCCAAACAAGGACATTTTGCTTTTAAACTCCGTTCCAAATATGATTGAGATTCGAAATGAATCCCACTCCCATAGAGTGTGTGCCAGAATTGGGTTAAGCCATAATTTTATTCAGATTTTTCCTTATTTTTGTCCTATTACAAGTTCAGGGACTATCTGTGTTAGCCATGTGAATATCCCCCTGCACATAGCTTTCGGTTCCTTTACACAACTTGATGTAAAGTAGGCAAACGAAATTAGTTACCTCCATATTGGTACACATACTTCTGGTCCGCCATGATTGGCAATAATAAACTATTAGAAAAGATCACCGCATTTTTTCACCAGAAAAAAAAGTATTTAATAAAAAAATGAAAAATGGCTCAATGCGATAATAGCAAAAAAATCACTCAAATTTCAAACAAGAAAATTTACTGATGTCACATTCTATCAAATTATAAAGGATGTCCGAAACAAATCATATTATGTGCCATATTTTCTGGCTATTACCCCGGCAAATGAGACAATTCCTATTTTGAACACTAAAAAAAGAATTGTAAAATATATCAAGCAAGATACGAAATTATAACAAATCATGTTTGAAAATAAGCCGACACCAGAAAAAATGGAATAAGCATTAAGAATAACTGCCCAATAAGACGCCCCGCTCCCCTTAATATCATGCAAAAAAATTTGGTCCAGAAAAGCGACTAAAAAATTCGGAAGTGCACCAATATTCAAGGTTAAACTCTTGATCTTAGGAATAATTTAATACAATTGAATTTGAATAATAATAAGTAATGAGTTCCGAATGAGTTCCTTAAAATATGACAAAAATGCCTTTAAAATTTGAAAATCATTTGAGATTTTACAAAATAATTGTTTATCATCAAATTTCCTGCATTTCCTAACTCAAAGTCATTGTATATACCAGAGATGCCTGTTTAAATACTGAAATAGAAACTTTATGACAAGTCACACTTGATTGTCAGTGTTGCAAGAAACCACATGTTGAACACCATTCAAAAAATCAACATAGCCAATGACAGCATTGGCATTAGTCTATAAATTTTCTGGACCGTCACACTTCCATGATTTCAAGCAGTGTAAGAGTCTTATACTAAACATCATCAAGAAATTTATCAAGCATGAAATGACAGCATTGGCATATGCCCATTATAATATGACCATTCCGACCTGTAACGCTTCAATGATTCTCAGTGTTACAAAAAGTGGCAAAATACAACAGACATTATAAATCCATTTATCATATTGACAATTTCAATCAAATAGTAATAAGAGCAGTGGTGGGATTCAATTTTTTTGTCAGCCGATTTCATCACAAAAGTCAAATATTTCACCCGGTTCTGTTACAAAAAGTCATTGACAGTAACCAGAAATGCTTACTGGTTCGCGAACTGGCTGAATCCCACTACTGAATAAAAGCACCCAGCATTTTAGACACCGTCTTTATAAGTAATTTCAATTCAACTCGGCCCGGATATGGGAGTACTTGGCATTGTATCCTGGCCGTTATTCTCTGATGGATTCTGTGACGGTGGACCAGAGTTAGGATGCATTGAATTCGAAAGTGGAGCCCCGTTTGTGTTTTGTTGTGGTGTCGTTTGCAACTGAGTTTGCCAAGGTGACATGTTACTTCCTGGCCGCATAGCGGGAGACGTTGTATGCGGAAAACTGGCCATACCAGTCTCTTGTTCCGTTTTTACTGGTCCGCCTGGTCCCGTCCCTGGACCTGTGCCAGGTTCAAACTGGTTTTCAAGTCGCGTTATCATTCGTTCATCCTCATCTCCGAATTCTCCCCCCATCAAAGACGGTTCTCCAACGACCATAACATCAGACGGAAAATTCTTCTTTTTTGAAGCAACCAATTGGTTCCCAGAGTTAGTATTACTTGAATTTTTCCGTTTTCTTGAAGGTCTTTTTCCTCCCCGCATAGGCTCTGGGGGGTTCATCATCCGTTGCCATTTTTGAAAAAGGCAATTTCTCAAACAATCTCTAGGATCTATGTTATATGTCTTCTGTCGAGACATTACTTCTTTCATCGGCTCCAAAATAACGCACAATTTTAGGTAATTAATCGTCGAAGATGACATTCCTTGTTTGGTAATGCTCGTACTTAGCTTTTCCAGCATTGCAGGCTCATGCAACATAACCTGTTTCGGGATAAGTTCAGAATGGTTATGAATTTCGAAATGCCACATTCGGATTCTCATTAAATCATCGTAAGAGAATTCCAACACTAGATGTCCTTCTGTGCATATTTTTGTCGGGACCGGTTTCATGTGGTGCGTAACCATGGTAGCACGATCACAATCCATAGTAATAGCATGTATCGCAGGATTAAACATATCTTTCGCATGCTGGAGAACAAAATATAACTGCGTTGCACCTCCGTCGTAAATGCTACGAAAATATCTCGGAATTAAAGTACGACCAATCGTGTATTGTTTCGGCCCATCATCCATGAATAACGAGACAGTCAATGTAGCCTTATCATCGAAAAACTCATGCGCCAACGCGTCCCACCATTGATTATCGCACTCTTCTGACGCTTCTTGTAGACGTTTATTCAACAGATATATTTTGTAATCAGGAGGCATATACGAAGGGCTACGTACCGGCCCTTCCATTCTTGGTCTTTGTGGGACACCAGGTCTGATAGGCATTGAGAAATTATTAATAGCTATATCTATGATTCCTTACAGGTTGTATCTAGATCTAAACCTGTTATAGGGAAAAAATGACTTGATGATAAATGTGAAAAAGAATGGGATTTACATATTTATCCCAGTAAGAAGGAAGTGGAAGAGACGTCTTAATCATTATGGTGAACCAAGAACTCTTGTCCGGTCACCAGTCCATGTCGGGTACCGGTATGGGATTAGTTAGCCAGTTGAATAAAAGTAAATCCTAGATTGTTTTGCACGAAGCGGATATTTGAATCAACTTGCTAAATCGTTACTGTTGTTGAGATGATGTTTTTTGCGTTTAGAATACAGCGAGTCATGTAACCAGTGTAACCATGTCCATCAGCCTAATATGTTATTTTGGATTCACATGGACAACAAGTGCAAAGTGGTAGAACTATCGCTGAAAATGAGATATTTTAATCTGAAATTACTGGTACGCTCTTTCACAATATAATCATTCTGTGTCAATCATCATTATTTCATTAAATATTAACAGATAAGACGAACTGTTGTAGTGTTTTTCGATTATCATCAGTTCTCTTAGCACTGGTCCTTCGCATAATCGCATGTTCGTTCGGATTACCTGGTACCTGCCATATTATTTTCAAAGAAACGACGTTTAGTGAATTTGCGCCATCATTTCACCTGCGTTGATATATTTGACAATTACAGTGAACGAATATTTATGGATTTAGTTTTTGTACCATGAATGCACAGCTCAGCCCAAAATGAAAAATCATAACTAAAGGCTGTTTGGTCTTCTTTCTACACTACTGCACTAGGTCAAGCCAAACTGTGACGCGACTATAAAATAAGTCTGTAAATCTGATTTGATATATAAATTGTAAAACTACAAATCTAACTTCAGAGCTGGCTGCTTTATTGCAGTATTCTGGTACCGGTCGGGTACTTGACCTAGGTCTTGAAACATTCGACTCACTAATATTACTGCTGTATGCATTTGATTTAGAGCTGTCCGATAAATACTGCTACGGTATGCCGGGTACCGGCACAAATATTTAAAAATACTCAAAATCAAAATATACTTATACTAACTACTGGTACCGTATTTCAGTATTTAAACGCTGCCCACATTACCGGTATAACTTCCAAGCAATGAAAAAGAATGAACTGACGAAAGGCCGTAAGAAGGTACCGGTACCGTATTTAAAATAAATTATCCAATCTAAAAAAGTTCTGGAATAAAACTCATACATATATGATATATATGCAAGTATATGTAATCAGTATGTAAGTTGCGTATTTTCAATATTGTATCAGTGGAAAAATAAATTACTGAACTCACTTCAGGTGAAGAACAGAAGCTGCACCTGTACCGGTTCTGGTATAACAAATTGATCAACCCGCAAACGACACCTAAATCAACGAAGCGTAACTTGTCAGAATGTTTACTTTACCGCTAAATACTGCAAATTCTGCTATGAGACAAATGTAATTTTTATTGGAAACAGGATTGAATCCGGTTAGACTAGACCTGGAAACGCAATTATAAAACTTTTTTAAAAAGTGAGAAGTGTTTTTATTTTTTTTATGGATGTATGTTTATTTGTCTCGTAATAGTGAGCAATATAAATAAATTGACAATTATTAATAATGGAGACAGGATGCATGAACTACTGGCCTAAAACACAAATGTGCGGCACGCACACCTTTTGACAAATATAACAGACAGCCCGATACCAACCGCTCTAATGCCAGCTACCCGACCACTGAACAACTGTGTAATGTATATAATCATATTACTATACAAAATACGGTACCCGATTACTGGGGCCATTTGCCGACTACCATTTGACCCAGGGGTGGGCAACTTCTCTAGTCGGCGGGCCAGATGTGGGAAAATGAAGTTCTCGGCGGGCCGGATTATAACATGAATAGTATTCAATATCTTAATCACATATTTATTTGCTAATGCAAGAAAGAAAATTATAAATAGCGTTCAAAGTAAAGTTTAAACTACAAAAAAATCGTGACAAAAAACCCTCAATGAATTTATCATAATGAACTAAAAGTGTAATAGTGTAATATCATAATGTACTGATGTACAGTTTTAGGGATAAATTCGTTATTTCAGGTAAAATACATTAAAAAGACTGGAAATTGCTAATTTCTCCAAATTCATGAATTGGATCGTTTTAATGTATGTTACCTGAAATAACGAATTTATCCCTAAACAGTCAGCGGGCCGGTCAGAATCTCGTGGCGGACCTGACCCGGCCCGCGGGCCGCATGTTGCCCAGCCCTGATTTGACCCATACTCTACCCACCACAAATACAGATAATCTACAATGGATGAGATGATTTGAGGATTTGCCAGTGCGGAAATTTTCTGTAATTTTAATCAGTAATTAGTAGACCAATTTCAATAGAAGTTTAATTCAAACTAAACCCCGAATTCTTGGTATCTTTATTAAACCTTTCCACTACGAAGAATGGCTAGAATCTTGACAAGTTTCCTGTCTTTTGATGACACAGTTTGAACCTGAAATAGACGTTATTTTGCACCCTCTGGTATATTCAGTTTTCTTCAGAAAATGTCGTTGCATATATTTGGAAATTGTTTAAAGCACCGCTCGAGTATATATTTGAATATACAATATTTACTTCAATATTTGCTTCGCAATTTGGAAATAGGATAAAATGAACACAAAAGTAATAGCCTCCTAGGGAAAATACAACGTTGAACTAATGAAAATTTCGAAGCAATTGGTCCAGGTATTAAAAAGAAGAGCGATTTTTCACAAGAAGAAGACGAAATAAAACACTTAAATGATGATCAACAACAACAACAATATAACAAAACGACCCATAGGTCTATTTCGTGTCCAATGAAATACGACACTCTATATTTTCTGATATTTATACGAGGAAGAGGAAACAGGACATCAACCAGGTACGACGTTATCGATTTGATTATCATTTTATACGATAGCCTACTGTGAAAGCGAATAATGATCGAATCGATATAAACAGAAAATAAATACAGATATTCAACGAGATGAAAAGCGTGTAACAAGAAAGTATTTTTAAAACATGAGCTGTTTTAGATCATGCAATAGCGTCGAGTTAAATTGTGTACTTTAAATCTATATCTAGTTCATTCTCAGCCCGCCCGTGTAAACGTACCGTGTTTCCACAAAAATAAGTCGGGTTCTTATTTCCATTTTCTTTCGAAAAATAACACTAAGACCTATTTTAAGGAGAGGGCTTGTATTAAAATCATTTTAAATTCAGACTAGATCTTGTTTTCGGAGAAAAAACGGTATATGTATGTATGTTCATTTGCCTCAAAAATGTAACAGTATCTGCATAATGATTGAACAGTAAAACAGAGACGGGATACATGTTCAAGACCTTACTGTCCTAGGACACAGATGTGCGACATGTACCCCACCAATTATAACAGCAGTTTATGACAAAGAGGTACGGCACAACGACGATATGTACAATAGTCAGTTTATGGTACGTCCATGTCACAGGTTCCGGAGTGAAAGGATGAAGATAGGACATGAGTCGCTAAATTGATATGTTTTTACTCTAAATCTCACGAAACACGTAAAGATTTGTTCGGAATGTAAACTTGCCAGAAACCAACGCTGGATGGAACCATATCAAGGAACACATCCCAACTTCAACCATAAAACGTACCTATTGAAAAAAATTATAGTGGAAGATTCATATATTTAATCCAAGTAGCCTATGCCATAAACACTCAACTAAAGACAAAAAGAGTAAATATATAAGCAGGGTCTCCCAAAATTGGTAATCGAATTAATGGGTTTCTTTTATTAGTGACACCCTATATTTAAATATTTACAATCCTTGTTATTACGAAATATCTTTCAGTATAGCGTTTGATCTCGAAGTTCGGAACAAGTTAACATTGATCGGAATGCAGCTAGGTAAGAGGACTTCACAACTCAACATTTTGTGGATGAAACTTAATTTAGCATAAAAAAATCTGTAATTTAAGAGTGAGCACTAGTACTAACGGACTAAAAGTACTAAATAGTCTTCCAGTCTTCGAAGTATTGTAACTTGATTGGTAATACATATCTGGCTGGCTCTTAAAATTGAACCTGTTGTCGGATGGCGGCAAAATATGCCCTCTGCGAAGGAGGCCTCATTGATTGCTACGCGCATTCGTTACTTAATAACAGCAAATTAATTGGCACAATGCCAAAACGTTAGCCTGTCGCCCAAAATCAGTTCGTGTAACTTGAATCAAAATACAACTTAAAAGTGAGATGGAACAGATTGTTTCTACGAATAAAGAACTGCTGGAGCAAATCCTTTTTAGTGCAAAATATGATTAGACACGGGTCGCACTGGCATGAAAACATTTTGTTTATTACATTTCGTTTTTTGTTATTCTATTATTATTTTTCCCGATGTCCTTATTTTTGGGTTCACATCGACGGCAGCCCTGCATATAACCATCAATACACCTAACTAATCGTAAGTTCAGTTTTATTCTTTCCATGGAATTATGAATAAATGATTTATTGTTTACTTGAGTGCTGCGTTTTTAGAAGGGTTAAATAAACTCTATAAATTCTTCTTCAATCATTTATACCAACATCGAGCTCCTAAATATAACGCTACCTTATGAGCCCCGCTCTCTCATTGAGGTGGGTTTTACCTTCTAGCCGGCATTAATTGAATTATCAAAGTAATTTTAGACAGAAAACGTGCCGAGGATTAATTCAAAATCGCCCACAACAGTGGAAATAAGATTATAAAATGCCCGGTATTCGTAATTGAGTTGACGCACGCGTAACTGGCAATCAGTACGAGCAGTGATGGAGAAGGGTGACAGGTATGACTACTCACAAGTATTCGATTCTTATCCGATTTCTAAATTTTCGATTTCGAATCTCGATCCCTCGGCATATTTTACCGAGAAAGCATATACCAACTTAACAATACCACGTGAAATCAAACAAGAGAGCGATGTTCGAATATATGGGCGGACAAGAAGGCCAAAACTAAAAATAGTATGGGTATTTCAT